AGTGCCCTTTCCCGTCCGCCCCCCCTGCCTGGCCATCCCCCCACTTCCCGTTGGGCTCCCGAGCTCACACCGGGGCACCGTCACCACCCTCCGCCACAGCTACCCGTCGCTGCTGCGTGGCCATTCCCTGCTGGCACAGGCAGGCGGGGGGCTCCAGACCCGGGCAGCAGTGGGGTCGCTTAGTGTTGATGTCCTGCCCAGGGTGCCACCCTGGGTGCCACCCAGAGGTGCCACCTCCCCCCCCCGAAGCACTCACAGGCCCAGCTGGGAGCTTCCTCCCTCCGAAAGCCACCAACTCCAGCAAAGAGGTGGCTAAAATAAGGAGGGGCTGCAGGAAGGCCAGAAAACCTGCACTGGGGGACATGGCACTTTACTCTCCCACGTGCACACGAGGAATGGGGTGTGTGCACGGAGGAAGGGCCGTGCACAGGCACCAGCTGCCTCCTGGGGACATCCCACTGGCAGCGCAGGGGCTGCAGTGCTGTCCCCCCCAGGAGGGGCTGGGAGCGGCTGGTTAAGCCAGGAGCAACGGGCCAGAGGGAAGCCAGGGATGGCCTGGGAGGCAGCAGAGCCATTCTCACACACGCAGTTCCCACCACCAGCATTTTGCCCCGTTGTTGCTGCCCAAACTCAGCTTTGCCCGCGTGGCGCCTGGCACATCCAGCCTGGGGGTCCGGAGAGACACGCTGTGTCCTCGGGGACCTGGGAGAGCCCAGCAGGATGCTCCATCTCTCCACTGCCAAGGTCCTTCTAGGAAGGGCAATAAATGTTGTGAAAACATGGTGAGGCTTTCACCTCGTGCACTAACGACCGTGGCATCGTTACACACACACACCGGACAAGCAGATTCCCCCCAGCAGCGTGCGCTAAACCCACTTCAGCCCCAGCACCCTCCTTTCGCCACCCAGTGCGGACTGGGCCACAGGATCCGCCCCGGCTGGCAGTGCCGGGAGCCCGGGGGGGCTGGGGGCTGGGTCCCCGGGCTGCAGCACCGGCCCTGCAGTGCACAATCCGCCCCAGTCCAGCGACCAACATAGCCCAGTGCAGCCCAGTACAGCCCAGTGCAGCCCAGTACAGCCCAGTGCGGCCCAGTACAGCCCAGTGCGGCTCAGCCCTGCACGGCCCTGTATGGTCCTTCATGGACCAGCCCAGCCCAGCACAGCCCCGCATGAACCAGCACATCCCAGCGCCGCCCAGCGCGGTCCAGCGCAGCCCG